CAGCTTTGGTGTCCTCATCTGTAAAATGGGGGTAACATTAACTTCACAACTTCATCATTAAAAGGAATATAGATAATGAATGTGAAAAGCACAATAAAAAGTAATGTTGATGCTTTGGTATGGAGCCCACGTCCGGCAATCACTTTTCACTCACCCTAGGCCAGGCAGGGCCCCCCAAAGCAGATTGAAACAGGCCACCCAAGATCCCAGTTTCCATGTCTGCCAGGGACTAGGTTGCTTTGGGAGCTGACTGTCCTGGGATTCTCCCCCGGGCCCCACTCAGCGCTCCCCCCAGCCTCGTACATCTCTGGACGTCTGCAGGAGTCGGCCTTGCATGGTACAGGCGGAGTTCCCAAATTTGTAGCTCATGGACTGCGTTTAATATTAGAAATGAACACAAAGTTGTGAAGCTTTTTATTTGCCAAGTAAAGTCCTTTAAAAAAAAAGTCACTTACAAGCACTGTCCTATCATCAAAGAAAAACCATTCAACACCAAAATGTGTAGAAGGACGGAATCTCAGAATAAAGGATTGTTTTAAAAGTTGGAATGAGTTTACCTTTATGAGACACTCACTTCCTTTTCCTCCTAGTTCTCATTGCGCTCTGGACCAGGAAAAACCCTGGCCCAGCCCTGCACCAGTCCCTGCTGGCACGTAGGATCTGGCAGAGGGGAAGGGGCAGGCTTTGAGGTTGGGTGGTTCCTCCATCTACCAACAAGATACTGAACCTGTCTAAAACTCAATCTCTCATCCACAAAATGGGGATAATTACAGATCCCATCTCAGGGCATTGTTGTGTAGATTAAATTAGATGATGCACATTAAATAGTTAGCACAAGGGCTCCATAAATGATCGGCGCGTTATTTCCAGACTCTGAAACGCTGCCACCTCAGGGCTAATGTGCCTCCTCCTTCTCACCCAAGCCCTGGTTCCTTCTCACCAGAACACCAACCTCTGCCACTTTGCTCTCTCCCCAAGTCCCTTCCCCAGCCTTTTCTGAAGTCTCCAACCAGGTGGAAACTGCTCAGTTTCCCCTTCTGTGTCTGCCACAACCCAGTCCTCTCCACGAGAGACACAGAGGAGGTGCTGAAGCCCAGGACCAAGAATCTGAGCAGCAGGAGCGAGAAAACAAAAGGAGAATCATAAAGAGGAACTGGAAGGGAGGCACAGACAACTCAGTTGCCTATCCCTTTATGTCCAGCCACAAAGTCTTAACAGCAGCATCACTGAGCACTTCTCTCTGTGCCAGACACTGTTCCACGCACTCTACACGGATTAACATATTTAACTGCCATCACAAACCTATGAGGTGTTATTTCTATCCTCACTTTACAAATGAGCAAACTGAGGCAGAGAAGGCACATTCCTTGTTCAAGCTGACCCGACTACCAAGCGGCCGGGGTGAGGTTTAACCAGGGAGTGGACGTGAGGCTGTGATTTAATCACCATTTAATACTCCCTCCTTCCAACACTTTAGCACTCTTCGTCAAATCAATCAATTGATCAGATATTTAAGGGCACTTACCAAGTGCGGAGCACTATGTCAGAAACTGAAAGGACAATAAAGAAATTAAGACTTGGTCCCCGAGGACATAAAGAGGAGCTTCCATCAGAGTACACAATTCTCAAGTCAAGGGGGTGAGAGCTGGGGACCAGAGCTGGGCTTCCTCACCTCCACCTCACCACAGAACCAGCCAACAGCAGAGCAAGACAACCAACCACGCCACTAGGGTACCCAGCAGGAGGTGGGAAGGCCTAGATGCCTCCTCCTACTCCTCCTCCTCCTAATCTGGGTCCTCTGGGGTCCAGGGCTGTAGCCAGAGGTGATGGCTACAGGCACTGAGTCCTGTACTTGGTTCCCTTTAGGTCTAAGTGAGAGGAAAGTGGAATCCTATCAAGGTCAAGTAGGGGGACCTGGTAGCCTGACTTCTGCTTTGTCTCACCTTCCTCTTCCTCAACCTCAAGGCCTGCTCTGGGCTGGATGGGCAGAAGTGGGACATCTGAAGTGTGTGTGTCTGTGCGTAGCATGGGGAGGGAGACAGCCAATTTGCAACTACTCTCCTTTCCGACTCACGTTCTCTTCCAGGATGTAGCTGTTCTTGGGGAGCTGAATCCTGGGAATTTAAGAGGCCCTCAGGCCTCTTTCCTTCCCTCCTCACTCCCTGGCCAAGTGGTGGCAGGGATGCTGAGGGGATCTCTGGGGGCTGCAGACACAGATCTTTCTCCTACCCCCACCACCACCCCCACCCCCTGGAGGCAGCTCCCGCCCCGAGCCGGCCTGTCATCCCACATTGCTCTGATTAGCTATAATCTTTCTTTTTCAATTTCTCCTCCCAGAGACTGGGGAGCGAGAAAATCTCCCAGAAAATGAATAAATATTTCAATTTTCGGCGCAATCAGTCTGAGGAGCCAGCGCATGATGGAAACAGGGGGAAGGATAATGGTTTTCATTTAGATAAGATACAGAAAATTATTTAGTGAAAAATGAAGATTGATGAAGCCCATTGAAATTCTTTAAAATGCAATTTCTATTTCTCTGCCTAGGCTGAATCTCCCCTTCCCCTCTCCTCTCTGCTCCTCTCAATTCAACTGCCTTCTCCTCTCCCCCCCCTCATTTCCCACCACCATCTCTCAACTCCCTGGCAATCACTCCCCCACCCCGCGGGTTTTCTCTCTCACTGCCCCAGGCCCTGACTTAGAGCTCCTTCTTTCTAAGGATGGAGGACAAGGAGAGGAGGTCCTACAGCACCCCCCCCCAACCCCGTGAGTGTCCCAGTCTCCCCAGATCCCCAGTTCTTCCCTCTCTCCCCCACCCCAGTCCTTGCTCAGCTTCCCAGAACACTCAGTACTGATTTCCTCTCCCTTCCAGTCTATTCTCTCCCTTTCTTGTCTTTGGTATGCCCTCCTCCCACCCCAAATACTTTTGCACACTTTCATCAAGTCTTGCTCTCACCCCTGTGGGAGGCAGGGAGATGGGAGCTCAGCTAAGCCCTAACCCTTCCCCCCTTTCCATAGGGAGAAAGGCACACAACACACTTCTCTCTGTCTGACCGTTTCTGTCCCGATTCAATCCACACGTCTCTCCTGTTTGCTAACTGCAGCTTTTGTTCCTTGAAGCTCATTCGTATCCACGTTGCTGACATGTTACGGCTGCGGGAAAGGGACAGACATAAGCTTGCCCCCAACACACCAATACTGACCCAGCTGCCCCCGCCCCTCACATCATGGGCTCTCCTCCCTTTTCCCCCTCTCTAGCAGCCTGGCTGAACCAAGTCAGAACTGAAGTCATCTTCCCAACTTTCTGCCAAGTGGCTGGCTTGGCCTGCCAACCCCAGGGCCAGGCCTCCTTTCCCCAGCACCACTTCCCACAGGACCCACACCATGGATGTGTGCTATTCTCATATCTTAAGTGTGTATGTGTGTGTGGGGGGGGGCATGGGTGCCCTACGGGGAAAGATGGATCAAGACCTGCCCCCACCAACTCAGCCAGGCTTTGCTGGGGAGGGGCCTGGTAAGGAGCGGAGGGGTCCAGCATAACACCTCACCCCTAAATACACACCCAGCAGCCCAGAGAGGGAACTGAGAGCAGGGCAATGCCTGAGGGTGTTCTATCCAGGCTGACCTCCCTCTTCCCAGATTCTCCCCCACCCCAAAACCAGACCACCTCCTCCATTTTGTAGTCTGTACATCTCCATAGGTGTCTGCCTATATGAATGTCTGTCCAAGTTTCTTTGTTTGCTGGAGGGTTGGTATCTGTAGAAGGGTTTCGGGGTATGTGTGTGTGTGTGTGTGTGTGTGTGTTGTGTCCTTGTAAATGCTCACCTGCATACATGTACTGTGTCTATGAGTTTTGATGTGTTTGGGTGCATGAATGTGCAAGCTGATATGGGGGAGGAATCTCAGATGTATCAGTGTCTTTGTGTATATGTGTCTGTCTCCGTGTGGGGGATGCTTGTGGGTATGTCTGTCTCAGTAGGTGAGTAGTCTCTCTCGGTGTCTATGACCGTTTTTTGATGTTGGTGTGTCAATTTCTGTGTGTCAGCTCCATTTCGGGGGGTAGGGGTGGCTAGCTCAGCAGGATTAAATCTTCCTTAGAGTCAGATCCAGGAGGCAAGAATCCACTCTCACGGACCCCAGTCCCGGCTGGAATCGGGGCCCTTAATTTCCTGGTCCCTCTTCCCTCCTACCCCTGCCAGCCCTGCCTCAGGATACACTAACATCCTCATCTCTCTCAACCTCTCCCTCATCTCCCAGCCTCTCTCCTGCCAGTTCCAAATAAACCCCTGACATCAACACTTTCCTGACCCCAAGTGGGGTGTCAGCCCTCCTAGAGCCCCCCCATATCCAGCCGGCCTGACGTTGCCTTTTGGAACTCCACTCCCTACCCCGAGCCTCCGCGGGCAGGGGTTCCAAACCCCCACCAGAGGCTCCGAGGCACCCCTCCCTTCCTCTAGAGGGGGCAGCCCCCTGGCAGTCTGGAGCCGGCTCAGACTCAGCCCCCGAGGGGCTGGGCTGGAGTAGGGAGATTCCCTCAGCAACATCTTCGAGAGCCCTGGTCCCCAGCTTTCCATGCACCTCTCACCCCCAACATCTGAAATCCCACCCTCTTCCCAGCCTTTCCCTCAGCCAGGACCCAGGCGTCCGGAGTCCCGGCCTCAGAGGGTGGAGGGAGGGAGGGCTGCCAGAGGCTCCGGAAAATACTTCGAGCGTTCGGGTCCCCTTTTCACTGCGACCCCGGGCCTCGCGGCCCCAATTCTCTGTTCTCCCGCGCAGCCAGAGGAAACAACTTGGGCAAATCAACGGAAAACTCCTTTTCGCCAGCCCCCGTTACTCCGCGCCCCCTCCCCCCGGGCTCCGCGCCGGGAGCGAGCCCCCGCCTCGTGGCGTCTCGACCCCAGAGACTGGCCGCCGGGCACCCCCGCGCTGCCCCAGCGGGGGCGCAGTCCCCAGCCCCGGGGGCGGGGGGGGAGCCGAGTCCGGGGCGGGCTGGCGGCCCTTACCTTGGGAGAAAGTATCGGAGAGAGTGAGGATCCAGACGAGGAGGCTCAGCATGCTGTCCGCCCGCCGTGCGCCCGCCCGCGGCTGGGGCCCGGAGTTGGCGAGGGAGCGAGAAGAGCGGGCTGGGAGGAGGGGAGCCCGGGAGCCCGCCCCCCGCCCGCCCGCGCCCGCCCCTGCACACACACACGCACACGCACACTCACTCGCGCGCACAAACTCACTTCCCTTCCCTGCGTTCTCTTTCTCTCTCTTTCCTCCCAGTCCCGTTCCTCGCTCTCTCGCTCTCTGTCGCCCTCTCCCTCTCCCTTTTGTGATTTCTCCTTTCAAGCTCTATCTCTCTGGGTCTCTTTCGATCTCGGCTCTCCCTTTCTCTCCCCTTCTCTTCCTTCCCTCTCTCCCTCCTCCCTCCTCCTGACGTCTACTCTCCCTCCGACGGCGCCTCCCTCCACAGCCCTCCCCCTCCCCCCCCCACCAACGCGCGAGCACACACACACCCCTCGCTGGAACTGAGATGCAAAGAGAGAAAGGGATTGAGGGCAAAGGCGAAGGAAGTAACGAACGTGACAGTCGCGGGCGCTGAGGCAGGAACGCTGGACCCTGCCCGCCCGCACCCCCTCGCATTTATATACAAAATCTTGGTCCCGGGCTAGGGAACTAGGCAGCGGATGGGGAGGCGGGGCATGTGCTGAGCACAAGCCGCTAGCCCAGTGGATGACTGTGATGGGGCAGGGTGTGTGAGTGTGTGTGTGTGTGTTGGGGTGTGTGTTAAGTGTGTGTGGGAGAGGAGGGGGTGGGCAGGCGGTGGTTCATGGAGTTAAAAAGCATAAAATCCTTTTCTTGTTTTAAATCCCACACCCAGAATCTAACCCCTAGATTCCCCCAATTGGGAATTCTCAATTGACTGATGAATCCTGGGAGTGGGGAGGGATACATTCCTCTCCCCACCTATAAAACCCCGAGCTGGAGAATCGGAGCTGATTCTTGGACCTGCCTGGAGCCCCTGCCAGGGGGCGCACCCAGCACACAGTGAGGCCAGGCTAAGTGTCAGAGTCCTCAGCTGGCCCTGGCCCCTGGCAGAGGAGAGGCTCAGCCGACTCCTTCCTTTGTCCATCTTGGGCGTCTATCCATCCAGAAGGAGAAAGCAGCCAACTTGAAGGCTTTGAAGGGCCAAGGAGAGGGCAGCCGCAAGAGGATCTCTATGCAGGAAGGAGTTTGAGATCCTTTGGAGTTGAGAAATCTAGGAACTGGGAGGGAGGGAATTCCTGGTTAGAGTAAGGAGGGCATTCAGTAGGGGTCTCCTCTTTCTTAAGAGCCCAGTTTTGCAACCAGGTCCTTTTCCAATCCCTAACCAGATGCTTCTGCTCAGAGTTGCTGCGGGTGCCTGCACGTCTGGACCCAAGGGATGAGTTGAGGAGAAATAACAGGAATTGCACAACTTTACAGCACTGTGTTGGTCTAAAGAGGTCTCCACTTCTTTCCTCCCAGATTCTCTAGGTCTCCTGGGTCCCTGACACTACCAGCCAAGATTTCTTGATTTCAGCTCCTGAGCAGAGGCGCATGGCTCTCTGGTGCCCTCTGCTGATGTGAGGCGGCCACAATTCTCTTTCTTCCACAGATCCTGACACCAGGCTGAATGGTCCAGATACATCCACACACACAACTGGAGGACACAGAAAAGCACAGGCGGAAAAACACACAAGCTCATATTCAGAAGCACATTATGCACGGACCCAGAGAACTCTTCGTATGTTCAAAAACACATATGCACAGGCAAAGAGTTTAAAAATAAAGAGCCACACCTAGCCCAGAGAAATAGAAATATAATCACAAATACATACAAAAAGCCATATACCAGCATGCAGATACACAGGGCTTTTCATTTACTCATTCATTAATCATGCATTCCACAATATTTCTTCCGTGCCTGCTTATGTTCCAGTCACAATGCTAAGCCTTGGATATACAACAATGGAAAAAAAATGGACAGAGTCCTTCCCCCATAGTGTTGCATTCTGGAGAGGAGGGAGAGTCAGTAGAAAAATTTTAAATACTCTAGGTTATAGTAAATGCTATGGGAGACAAACAAAGCAGGGTAAAATGAACAGGGAGTGGAAGGGAGGAAGGAATTGCTATTCTCATAGGTAGTCAGAGAAATCTGCTCTGGTAAAGTAACATTTGAGCAGAGACAGAAGGAATTGAGGGATTCAGATATTCAGGCATCTGAGGGGAGAATGTAGCGGGTAGGTGATAACAGCAAGTGCAAAGGCCCTGGGGCAGGGGTGTTCTTGGAGTATCAGACAGCCTTTTCTCCTTTTCACTCTGCATAAAGGATTCATGGAAAGGAGGGCCATGGTGATAGTGATTTAGGAAAATGTTGAGAAGAAAAAGTACAGAAGCAGAAGCGAGGGAAGAGAATATTCTTAGTTTAGTGCTTCATGCCCACCTTCCAGCTTTTGGTATTCAGGTGTGATGGGAATTCTCAGTGTGAGGAGGGACTGAATTATCAAAGCTTTTACTTCCCCTTAGGCCTCTTATCTCACCTCAAAACCCCAGCAACAGAGGAGCCAAATTTCTCCAGATCCTTAACAGCTAAAGCAGTAATCTCACCTCTCTCTCCTGGTCCCTTAACTTTTCTACCACCCTCTCCCTTTAATCTCAAATCCTTACCAGCTCAGTTCATAGCAAACACACTTCTCCAGAATCCCCACCACATAAGCCACTCAGCATCCCAGATCCCAGAGCTTAAGACCCCAACTCCAGCTAGTGGTCCTCAACACTAGCTGTGTGTTAGAATCTCTGAAGGGGCTTTTAAGAAACGCCAGTGCCTTGGCCTCACTCTTGAAGATTAATTGTTCCAGGGTGAAGCCCCAAGCATCAGTATTTTTAAACATCTCCCAGGTAATTCTAATGGGCAGCCAGGGTTGAGAACCACCGCACTGAGCAAACCCCTGCTTTCCAGGTGTTGCCCTCGCAAGCCCGCACACCACGAGGGTGCCTCGGCCTCTTCCCTCCACCAGCAGTTCTGCTTATCACCAATCCTGCATCACCCTCCCCTCCTTCTGGGGTGAACCCCAATGAAGCACCCCCAGATTTGCTCCATTCTCATCTCCACAGTAACGTTCACAGCTCTGTCTAATTGGCTTAACCGAGTCTACTGGAATCTAATCACATAACTCTCAATGAACCAGGGGATCCTGGGGCTGAGTCCCCAGTATCAGACGGATGCTTCTGAAGGCAAAGCCTGTGTTTTTTACATCAGACTAGATACACCTCCCCAGGACAGGACATCTTTCTCCCCTATCAAACTTGGGGATCCTTGGGGGCAAGGGCTATGGATGTCCCCTCCGTCTGGAGCTCCCTGAGGGCGGAGAAGAAGCTGCATCACCCCTCTCTCCATCAGAGAGGCAGTAGAGGCATAGAGAACAAAGCACATGGGCACCGAAACCAGCCCGAGGGGATTCTCATCCAGGTTCTGCCCCTAACCTTCTCCATGACCTTGGGCAATTTATTTACTTACCCTCTCTAATCCTGGTTTCTCCACCTGAAAACAGGGATAATAATAGTACTTACTTTATGGGGTGGTTGTGAGGATTAAGTGGGTCAATATCCACACAGCTCTTAGAACAGTGCTAGGCACATAATGAGTAGTAAATGCCAGCTGTGATTGCTTTCACATTGGGAGCTCCCTAAAGCAGGGACCTTTCAAATCCTCCTCCTGCTGGATTTGTCTCCATCCCCACGCACAGGGCCCTGCCAGACAGAAATATGTGGGCATGGAGGTGGAGGGGGTAATCCCTGAGGATGCCACTTCACCCAGAAAAAAGGAGAGTGGCAGCCAAAGGTTATATATGGAGTTGAGAGGAATATTAATAATTTTTTGAGCACAAAAGCAAAAAGATCAAGAGGTCAGAGAGTGAGCAGGAAGGCAATTTATGACCATCAGCAGGAGAAGCCACCCTTGGAGACGGAAATGAATTCTTTGTCTCAATGAGGGCTAGGAACAGCAGAACAATTCTATAAATTGTCCTCTTTCCCCCTAGAGGGGGCGGAGGATTGTGCTCCTGCTGCTTACCCGAGACGCAAAAGAGAAAGGGTAAAATCCTGATTTTTCAGCCTGGAAAATAATCCTAACTATAAAGGAAACCTCAAGTCACTAAGGGTGAGGGACCACCAGAGGTCACCCTGTCCCTCCCCCTGCTGTAGACTGTAGCCCAGAGTAGTGAGAGATGCATCCCTTCTTCAAAAGTCCTCCCACCAAAGGGGCTCTTCCTCATTCCTTCTCCACTTTTGTCTTATAACCCAGGTGGCTGTGTAAGTCCTTCCAGATATTAGGCCTTGGGCTTTCCTGCTGCTATACCAGTCCATTTTCTCTTGTTCTCCTTTTCCTTAAGATGCTCAGCTTTTGAGATGTACAAGAAGAAGAGCAGAGACAGAGGATGGTCTTAAAGGCAATGGGGAGAGATTCCAGTCTGCGCTGTGAGGGGAGGGAGTAGAGGCAGGAAGAAGAGCAGGAGCAGTCGAAGTGCCCTGGACCACCCCTTAGTGGTCTCTTAGGGGAAGGAGGACCAAGGAGGTCAGGCTCCTTGGATGGAGCCTGGGTGTCAGAGGACTCGGAGGGAGCAGTGCTGCAAATGAAGCAGAAGGACTAAAGGCCAGACCCCAGAAGGGACTGTCTACTGAGGAGGAGTCTCCAAAATATTTAGGGAGAAATAGTTTGGATAAGGTTGAAGCTGCTCCGAGGCAAGGGCTTAGAGAGGATAACCTTGGCCAAGACAGACTCCCAGAGAGTGTTTACCATGTACCAGCCTCGCCTGCGAAGAACTGGGATCCATTCCCTACCACCCATTTTCAGCCCTTCCCTTCACAGTGCTTCATATTCCAGCTCCAAAATGGTGAGACAATTTGTGCTAAATGGACCAGTTATCTCTTATTAGGTTTAATGAGGATTTCATTGCCTGAACTCACAGGGAATGAAAGATTCCTGCTTCAAATGAGTAGCCCAGTTGAGGAGACCAGCTTAGAGAGAGAGAGAGAAGAGGGTTAAGGTTCAGGGCCACTGAGGTGGGGAGTGGGTGGGTGGAGGATAGGAGAGTGGGGAATAGATTTAATTAGGAAAAAATGGAGACAATAATGTGAAGTAATGACTCAAATGTCAAGCTTCAGAACTGGATGAGGCCTCAGACAACACAAAGTCCGTTCCCCTTGGAGATGGTGAAATGATCTGTCAAAGGTCACAAAGCAAGTTATAGCTAGAGAAGGGCCAGGACCAGAACTGAGGCCTCTTGCTTCTCA